TGAGCGGCTCACTCTCTCACGCACACACACGCGTTAGCACCGCGAATGGTGGGCGCAGGAAACACTAATAAACGCTCCGATCTCCGCACTGCTCGTCGGCGGCACAGTGCGGTCGTAGACGACTCACTTTAACCGTCCCACGTGCGCGCACATTATCTCTCCGAGTCCATTTACTGTCCGTCGCCGTCGCACTCAAGACGGCAGAGACGAGAGACAGGCCGCCTGTATTGGCCGGTATCAGTCGTCACGTCAACGGCGGGAATACGACCGCCCACACCAGGGTCACACACTCCGCTCATCTCACCGACCAATGTCCACGTGGTACGTTTACGTCGGTTAGTCGCACTAGTTTGCCAACCCTGACCTCGGTCGTGTCCATGATCGACATGCAGTGTGCGGTCGGCGTGCGCGGGGAGACACTCTCGCCGCCGGCGTCGCCAGGAGCGATCCTGCGGCTGCGTGTTCTTCCGCTTCCAGCGACGGCCACCGACTCTGAGCAGGCCGCCGGAGTCCATGAGGCAGGACGAGAAGTCACTGCCGTTTACGACCGGCTCCGCTCGCTCGGTGACGCACGCTGTCACCCTCGTCTCGTCGTCGGAGAGGGCGGCCGGGCCGGACCGCGCAGCTGGACCTCGCATCCACGGTCCGCCGGGGGCGAGGTCCGTCCCCGGGCCGCCTCTGCTGAAGATGTCGGCCGGGCCCGGCGGCTCGGCTGCGTGACACCACTGGGTCGTCTCAGATGATTCCTGGGTGTGAAGGTCAGCGACTGCACTCGTTTTATCACTGACACGAACGTGATTGACAACGTGTTCACCATCAAGCACCGAGCGTTCCGACGCCCGCCCGGTCACCGTCCATCCCAACAGCGTCCTTACGGCGCACAGCGTTCCCGTCGGTCCCTCGATCACTTCCCGCGGCACAATAAGTTCGATGACGTCGGTTCCCAGGAGCACCTCCACTGGGCCGTGGGTGGCGCTGGGGAGATCCAGGTCGGCAAGGTGCGGCCATTTCTCCTTTGCTACTGTGCAGTCCATGGCCTTGGCTGACACGTTTAACGTCGGCGTCGTTTGGGCGTTTCGTATACGGTGTACCCTGCCGTCGCCGCCCACAGCCTCGACGGCGAAGGATACGCGTCGTGACGTCGTCGTTTGGGTCCCACTCAGCGTACTCAGTACCAATTTGTCGGTGGGCCCCGAGATGCCGAGCCGGTCACACAGGTCGTCGGTGATCAGTGTGACCTGACTGCCCAGGTCGAAGAGTGCGTTCGTGGTGCGGCTACCTGCCGGCCCATTTACGGTGATGGGCACCACCTGCAGGAGAACATCACTGCGAGGCTCGGCCGATGCGGTGCCGACATGTTTGGCAGATGACGGCGTACCATCATCGGAATCGCGCAGCGGAAACACTCGTCCTCCATTGTGTAACAGCGTGTGATGACGCCTGCCGCAGTGCTCCGCGTCACATCGTGCATCACTGGGACACGTGGCGCTGATGTGATCGCGACCCAGGCAGTTAAAGCACAGTCCGTTTCTGCCGACGAACTCTGCCCTCTCACTCACAGTCAGCGCGAGAAATTCGTCACAGTGCTGGAGCTCGTGTGTTTGCTGACACATGGTACACCAGTCACTGTGTCCGTCCGCTGATGACTTTATGGCAGCTGTCCTCTCCCGCTTTACAGCCGCCGGCGTGGGCCGCGCCGACGTGGTGGTAAACACGCGTCTCGGGCGGCACTCAGCGTCATTAGCCTCGACCTTCGGCAGCTGCTTGGTGGTCACGTTCAAGGCCAACCGACCAGCTGACACATGACGGCGAAGCCATTCGTCGAGATCGACGAGCGTCGGACGAGTGATGCCGTTTTCCACCATGTGCTCGCCCCACCTCCAGGCGAGGGAGGCTGGTAGCTTCCCAGTCACAGTGGTGACGTTCGTGGCGGCGGCAAGGTCGTGCTCGCAGTGCAAACACTGTAGGACGCTCACCGCGGTGTGGAGCTCACGAGACAGCTCTGTCAGCGCTGACAGATCGCCATCTTTCACCGGCCGCGCTGTGAGCAGTCTCTTCATCGTGGCGTGTATCACACGGGACGGGTCACCAAACTCTCGTTCCAGCTCACCCAGGGCGGTGCTGTAGAGACTGGCGTCGCAGAGCATGCCGCGCACAGACTCTCTCGCCGGCCCCGTCAGGTGAGTCTGCAGATAGGTCAGCCGTTCTACGTCGGTGAGGTCGGCGCGGTCGTGTACCAGAGCTTTGAAGAGGGCTATCCACCGCGGCCACTCGATGGCAGAGCCGCCGAACTTCTCCAGCGTGATGCGCGGCAGATGTGGGACCGCTCTGGTGTCGTCACGTGACGGGTGCTGCAGCCGCACCGCAGGTGGAGGCAGGGTGCCGACAGGAGCCGTATCCACTGGCGGCACATGCAGCTGAGACTGAGCCAGCCACTGTCGGGTGCGCGTGGTTGACTCGTCCGTCTGTCGAGACACGTCCACCAGTGCCGGTGGCTCAGTTGCAACCACCGGAAGACCAGCGACGGATGGTGCAGCGGAAGAACGAGGGTGCTGCGAACCCCGCTCCTCCTGCTCCAGCAGCTCCAGCTCCAGCTGACGGTATTCAGCTTCATCCTTCGCCGCCTGAGCTTGCAGCGCTGCCTGCGCCTCCGCCTGCTCCGCCTGCCGCCGGGACTGCTCTGCCTGCGCCTCCGCCTGTTGTCGGGCTTGCTCCGCCTGTCGTCGGGCCTGCTCCGCGTCCGCCTCCGCCAGACGCCGGGCCAGCTCAGCCTTGGCGGCGGCAGCGCGCTGGGCCTGTTCCGCCTGGAGCTGGCTAAGTGCAGCCCGGCGGCGGGCTTCACTGAGACCGGAGGACGCCGTGCTGAAGCTCGCCTCGCTCCTCGTGTGATACGAGCTTCGGCGGCTTTGATGTGATTTCGCATCACTGGCATGTCGTGACCGCTTGTCAGACATTGTACTCACAGTTCACAACACCGCGTCGTCACTGTAAATCCATCACACTAGTTCACTGAGATCCGGCCCGGAGGACCAGAATGTTCGCGAGAGTCGTACAGTTCACCCGTTCGATAAGGAAATGTTCGTGCGTGCTCGTAATCGTTCACTCGTTTTCGTACTCGTTCTCTTTCGTCACCCGGAGGACCATAAAGTTATCGTTCATAAAAGTCTATTCTTGACTGATAGCGAAACGATTAAAACGGGTAAATACGGCGGTCACAGATGCAGCGCGGCGTTCTCGGCACGTCGTTCACGTAAGGCCGCGTCGGCCACGTCGTAACACCGGGCCGTGTCGCGCCGGCGGAGTCGCGTTCGAGACTCTCGGGCCCCCGTCCCGTCTCAGCCCTCGTGGTACGCACAACACGTGGGTATGAGAACCAGGACAGGGGCCAGATGACACATATGTGAGCGGCGTGGCGCGGCGGACCGACCGCCGCGCTCCGAGCGCCGGCCGTCTTTGCGAAGATATCCAGAATGCCTATTTGCTCGCTAACAGCATCATTAACTGATTGCAATAAAGAAGGAGTTTTATGTCAGGAAGGGGAGCAACCCGCCATCGTCAGTTCAAAAATTATTTCTCTCATCGAACTTATAATGTAGCTGCCATTTGGGCTATGAACCTGCGGTGTAATTTACAAAATACGGCATTTTTAACATGGACACAGGCGTGAGAGGTGACAGCTATGATACAAAGTAAAAACTGATGTCAAAAAAGTTGTAGAAGCAATAAACAATATTAATTTTCAGAGAAACGATTGAAAATATAACCGTCTAAGCGCATACGTTCATATATATCTAGTCGGTTACATCAAACGTTTTCGTTCCACTTCACAAGCATACCGGACACAAGAGAAGTTATTTACCTGCGCAAAAAAACATCGCAATTTATATCTACATTTATTATGTATCGAGCTTGATTCACATAATACATGTTCAAGTAAGCCACAATGACATAGAATGCCGGAGTGTATGCATTCCGTCTCCTTTGCTTAGCCATGTTAAAGGATAGGGCGCAATTGGGTTCTAATTGCGCCATCCCCCTGGCGCAATTTACAGCAGTTGTTGGTAAATGCGCCCTTTTGCATGTTTCTGAAAAAGCAGCTGTCAGAAGCAAACGAAACATTCTTAATTGATCGGGAGGCTCTTAAATCGTAGCCAATGAGTTCCTCTTTAAAATGGTTACCAGTGCATGCCTACATCTCCAGTGGTTTTCTTACAATTAGCGTGTTTCCTTAAGGTGGCGCAATTCACCCTCCTTCCCCTAGAGCTCAGTCTGTCTATCTGCATAGGGTTTCAGATCAGAGCTCACGTTCTGTGACCATCCCATTCGAATACAATGGATGACCTTGCTGAGAACAGGATCCCTGTTCGTCAGTCTTTCCACTTTAGGGGCACTCAAAATGTTGGCCTCTTCAAGGTAATTGATGAGTAAGACATCCTCTTCCTCAGGAGGGATGTGACTCTGCCCTACTGACTGTGTCAGTCGGCTCAGACCATCAGCGTGAGCAATGTCATTTGTTGACTTGTATCTGATCGTATAGGTATACTGGGAAAGCTTCAGCGCCCAGCGTTTGATTCTGGCGCTTGTCATCTCTGGCATGCCGCTGTTCTCTCCAAAGAGCTTGATAAGAGGCTTGTGATCTGTGACCAGTTCAAATTTTGCCCCATATAAGTAGTCACGGAAGGCGGTGACACCAAATATGATAGCTAGGGACTCTCTTTCGATTTGACTGTACTGCTTTTCTGCTGTCTGTAGCGTCCTAGACGCATATCCTATCGGCCTCTCAGACCCATCTGGAAACGCATGTGAGAGCACAGCTCCGATCCCACGAGCGGAGGCGTCACAGGTGAGGACTAGTGGGAGGTCAGGATCAAAATGAACCAGGAGTTGGTTAGACGTGAGCAATCGTTTGCATTCCTCGAAAGCCCTTTGATGCTCTTGTTCCCAGGACCACGGTGTACTCTTTTTGAGGAGCTCAAAGAGCGGATGCAGCGTTTGGGCTCTGCTGGGGATGAACCGGGAATAATAATTGACGATGCCGAGAAACGACTTCAGCTCAGAGACATTTGTGGGAGGAGGTGACTGGGTTATGGCTCGAACCTTGGCCTCCGTGGTACTAAGGCCATCTTTGTCGACGACATGACCAAGATACTCAACGCGGGGGACCAAGAAGTGACACTTGTCCGGTCTCACCCGAAGTCCGGAGTCCTGGAGTCGTTGCAGCACTTGCTCCAGACGGGACACGAGCTCGTCTTCAGCCCGTCCAGAGACCAGGATATCGTCGAGGAAGATGAAGACTCCTGGCACGCCAGCCAGCAGCTTTTCCATTTCACGCTGAAAGATTCCCACAGCTGAGTTTATCCCGTACGGTAGCCGCAGGTAACGATACAGTCCACGGTGAGTGTTGATTGTCAGCAAGTGTCTGTGCTCCTCTGCTACTTTCAACTGTTGATATGCACGGCTTAAGTCTAGCTTGGCAAACACCTTTCCCCCAGCCAGTTGGGCAAACATGTCCTGGACCTTGGGCAGGGGGTGTCTGTCTACTCGAATGGCTTTGTTAGCTGTCTGTTTGAAGTTTCCGCATATGCGGATTTTACCGTCGGGCTTCACTATCGGGACGATTTGGCACGCCCAGTCCGCAGTGCGCACTGGCTCGAGGACCCCAGCCTCGACCTCTGCGTCCAGCTGTTCCTCCACGCGTTTCCTGAAGGCATAGGGAATGTTCCGTGGACGATAGAAACATGGTTTTGCATCCTCATTGACGTCAAACTTCACCTCCACGTCTTTCAGGCACCCTAGATCAGCAGAAAACACATCACGGTACTTTTTCTGCAGCTCTGCACCTATTGACTGTCCCCGCCCAGGATCACCTCTGACCTGTTTGATGGTTTGCCAGTCGAGCTGAAGGAACTTCATCCAGTCCCTTCCCAGAAGATTGGGTCCTGCAGTGTCGACCACGACGACGGGAAGCTCCAGGTGCTGCTCACCGTAATGGATGACGGCACTGAACTCCCCTTCGACCGGGATGGGCTCACCCGTGTACGTCCGAAGCCTGGCGCTGCATCGCCGAAGTTCAAGGCTGTCGTCGCCGCCTGTAGTCTTCACCACCTCAAAGGTGCGGGCATTCATCAGCGTGGATGCCGATCCTGTGTCAACCTCAAAGGTAACGGGCACACCAAACACTATGATGTCAACTGTGATTGGAGGGGACCTTGCTTCACCCACAGTGTACACGCTGCAAACATTATCCTCTTCAGCAGCCTGACTAGGCTCCGATACTCTGACAGACTCATCAGTCAGTACACAGTGTGTAGATTTAGCTTGCGAGGCGCGCACATGATCTTGATCATTTTTGCGACATTTGCGACTTAAGTGACCCTGCTCGCCACATGAATGACACTTGTACGTCTTAAAGCGGCATGTTTGAGGTGAATGATTAGTGCCTCCGCAGCGGAAACATTCCGATCTGACGTACCGATTGGATGGTGACCCTTTCACCTGTCGTGCAGATCCAACTCGGTGAACGTCCTGCGCCGCTGGATCGGAAAACTGGGCAGCCAGCTGTCTTGCGCTCTTCGTCGCCGTCTCTGCTGCCAGTGCGATCCGCTGCGCCTGTTGGAACGTCAGAGTATCTTCCTCGGTCAACAACCGCTTCTGCAACGCCTGATCAGCGAGTCCACACACAAATCTGTCGCGTAACATATCATCTCTACTTGATCCAAAGTCGCATGGATCGGCCATGACTTTCAAGTCAGCCACAAACTCCTTTATCCCCTGTTCTGATCCTTGACATTTTTGATGGAACCGGAAACGGCTAACGATAACAGACTGCTTCGGATCCACATGACCTTGCACGGCCATGACAATATCTCTATATGACATCTCAGAGGGTCGGGTGGGTGCCAGAATGGTTTTGACTCTTTGATACGCAGTTTGCCCAATACCAGCCAAGAGAAGTGCTCTCCTTCTATCATCCTCTGAAATGCCCTGAGCCTCGCAAAAGAACTCAAATCGTTCAATGTAATCCCTCCAGGTGCCTTGACGTTCATCAAATTCGCCAATGGCGGACGTGAGACATACCGTGGGCTGGTGCATTGTTGCGATACCTGTTGCCGGCTTCCTCTCATCTGAATCACTCATCTTGCCGTGGGTTCTTGCCTCGTCGCCACTGTTGTATCTTGAGACACTCTGTTAAACCGGGTGCGGTATATTTTACTTTAGCAACAGCACCATACCGACGGCTGGCTCAGCGGTGACCGACCGACTCCCCCCCGACCGACCGGCCAGCACGACGCGGCCCTGACCGTCCGATACGATCACGTGACTGACCGATCAACGGTCAGCCAATCACAAAACGAGACACCAGACAGCCAGACACAGACAGCGAGACGCCAGACCAAACTGGGCGGGTACCCGCGCACTGGGGATGGGTAACCGCTCCGGAATGTTCCCAGCACACAACAGTTTCGCCCCTGATCGAGCTAGAGCTTCGCGGAAAAAACGAGCGTGTTGCCCGTGACGAGAGGAAGCCGATGATACCCAATTTTAAGGTCCTAGGTCATTGGTTGACCTTCCAGGTCAGCTCAATGACCCAAAGTCGGGAAAATCGGGACCTGTTAGAAAGTCGTAAAGTGTGGGTGCTAAGGGGTTTTTCGGGGTGCTGATCACGAATATCGTGTTAGTTTTGATCACAGATGATGTCTTGAAGCATTTAGACCAGGTCGGGTCAGGTCAGGTCAGGTCAACCAGTAGGCGTCGTGACGGGTATTCGTAGTACGTGTCAACCGCCTCTGACAGCTTCGTAACATGTTACGAAGTCACCAAAACTACTTCGTAAATGTTCAAATGGTTGCTAAATTCGAATTCAGCTGCAAAAACTAGCCTAGAAACATGTAAAACTCGAAAAAGTGACCCGAGGTCACCCGAGGTCACCAAAGGTCAATGACCTGACCTGACCCTCAGGTGACCTTGACACAGACGGGAGTAACATCAAATCACATGTTTGAACGTTTGAAACCACGAAAAGCTTGCAAACACGCGGCTAGTGCGAGCCGACATACGCGAAATCGCGATTCCGGCCAAACATGGTCTCGGAAAAGAGGTCACAGGTCAAAGGTCATTTGGGTCAGGGTCATGAAATTTTCAGGGTAGGTGTCAAATTGATCAATGCGAGGGTACTGAAAGTTTCGTCGCGATCGGCCGCTTTTTACGCGAGTTATTCGCGAAAAACCATGGGGGGGGGTCCATCCGACCCCCCCTACACATGCGAGGGTTAATTTCAGCTTGCCTAAAACGCAATTTTTTAGATGACTTAGGTTGACCTTGACCCTGACCTTGACACCTGTATATCGTGGAACAACATGTTCCATGATAGGTGGGAGGTAAGACTGGCAAAAAAGGCCAAAATGAAGATATCAAAAGCTTACAAGATCCATAGCCAACGAAAAGTATTTGGAATTTGTCATTTGGGTTATGACATGACCTGAAGAACAAGGTCATATCTCCGAAACCAAAAAACACAGAAACTTGAAATTTATAGTGGACATAAAAAAGGATAGAGGAGCAGCTATACGAAAAATCAGGCTCCATAAATGTTGAGTGCAGAGCAGAAAAACTACCTGGGAGGGGGTGGGGTTGGCAACCACCTTCCCCCCATGTGTGGGCGAGGGTGTACTACTACAAGCTCAAAAGTATTCATTTGCCAATCAATGCTATACATGATTACTTCTCGCCCGCACATGGGGGGAGGCTGACCCCCTTTCCCCAGGTAGTCTTTCTGCTCTGCACTCTACATTTTTAGAGATAGAAGCCTGACTTTTCGTATAGGTGCTTCTCTATCCTTTCTTGATGCCCACTGAAAAGTTCCAGTTTCTGTGGTTTTTGGTTTCGGAGATATGGCCTGTGTTTCAGGTCATATCATGACCCAAATGACCAATTCTCATTATCTAGTGCGTTGGCTATGGGCCTTGTGAGCTTTGGACACATTGATTTCGGCCTTTTTGCCAATCTTATACCTCCCACCTATCATGGAACATGATGTTCGACGATGTACAGATGTCAAAGTCAGGGTCAAGGTCAACCTAGGTCATCTAAAATAATTGCGTTTTAGGCAAGCTGAACTTACTTTTCGTGAAGTTTCTTGACTGCATTTTTGGTAAAAGCTTCTCAGATCATGATTTCATGTAATATGGAAACATAAACAATCGGTGCACACATCAGTATACACACACACACACACACACACACACACACACACACACACACACACACACACACACACACACACACACACACACACACACACACACACACACACACACACACACACACACACACACACACACACACACACACACACACCTACACACACACACACACACACACACACACACAGACATACAAGCACATGTCATTGACCTTGACCTAACTTGACCTGAAATGACCTCAGCAGCAAAAACCTGGTCGGGTAGTGTGACTAAGAGGCTCTAGCTGGCTTGGCACCAGAAAACGGCATCGTCATCGGTATATGATAAGCAGCGCACTTGATATCCAACGGTGACCCAAAACAGCAACATTTTCTGGAAGGTCAATGACTGACCTGAGAAGGTAAAACTGGGTATCATTGGATTCGTCTCTTCCCAAAGAATCTTTTTGGTCCTACCGCGAAGGTTGATCTCCAACAGGAACAAAATGGCGCAACGCAGGAACGGAACGTATTACCGCAGCGTCGTCCGATACTCAATATTTCACATAGAAATGTGGGAAGTATTGAATGGTCAGCTGCATTTACTTAGTCCTCCTACCTAAAAAGTAGCCTATTCCAGGTAGCACCGATATCTCATAGACGGATACCTACTGTTGTGTAGCTAGCAAAGTTGTTCAGCACACATGCTAAAAGCATCTCCCGACATAGTCCCCAATGTAGAAACTGCACACGGCTCACGGCACCGCTCTGCACCACCGTGCTGATAGTGCAGCTGACCCCCCCCCCCCTACACTACCCCCCCCCCTCGGCGGACAGTGGAGGGGACCGTGAGTCAGCACCGTCACTGGGGAGCGGGGTCCGAGGCTGGTCACGGACCGCAGACTCGACCCGTTGGCGTTTATATATACACTACCGATAATATATTTGAGAGGTGCGGCCAAACCGGGGCCGAGTATTGCCCGCGCCGGATCAGCTGGCTATCCGACAGGTCACCAAGGCCGATTTGGCAGTCAATTCTGCGGCCGATCAGCGCCTCCAGACACTCCAGGGTGACGCAGAAGCTATGCCGTTCCTACTGTGACGCCACTAGTGTGACGTCACACTTACCACACTAGTGACGTCACCATGATGTGTCCAAGACTGGCGGACGGGTACGATACTCGGTCAGACGCTGAACTGCCAACGACCACTGACAAACAGTTGCCCGATGACCGCAGTCGGATACCAGTCCCTACTGCTTCGGACCGCTCCAACCCACCAGCCGCTTGGGGCGTAAAGTTACCCCCTTACGTTTTGGGTCATATCACCCGAACCTGATAAGATGTGAACTTGAAACTTCGTGTAGCTTCAAATGAATACCGAGGCCAAACTTGAGAAAAAGTTAGGTGGTTGTAGCTCTGAAGATAGCACCAGAGAGACGTCATAAACGTTGGTCGTTTTCCGATATGGAGCGTGTCTGGTGTCACTGAGCATGACACGCAAGGGTAAAAAATGTACTACACAGCACCTGCTGTCATCCTGACACATCTAGTACACTTACAACTATACTTCCTGACCATTCATCAGTCCTATATATTCACCATTCGGCCCCCATATATCGGATACATCGTTGGTAAACTAAGAAACACCGATATATAATTGGACTGATGACGTCACTGTGACGTCATTTCAGATGGAATCGACACCAAATTAGTGAGAACGACTTCGAATAGCTGTACAGGAATATGTGTGCAAAGCTTTGCTTCTACGGGTATATCTCTTCTCATTGGGACACTATCGTCAAAGGAAACCCGCCCCCCCCCTCCCTTCTCTCTCGGCCGGCGGGTCGGGCGTGGAGACCGTGCGGCCGCCGGGCTAGATTACTGCGTGCCGAGTTTGTGGTGTCACAGCCAGTGTCCACAGCCGCCAGATATCAGACACATAGTGTCGCCATAAAACAGCACATGCTGCTGACCTTTTGAGGCAGCAGTTGTAAACAAACAACCGTTTATCGATCGCCAGTTACGCATTATTGGCGACTCGAATCCGGTGTTGAAATTTTTTTTTAATTATATGTGATATGCTCAGTTGGCTTGCTTTCTTCGAAAAGAAAATAAGAGTACGCTGCCATTATAACTCACAGCGATTGAGCGACTATGTAGTTAGGTACTAAGTGCCAAATCGTTGCGAGTAGAGAGTATTCGTCACCAACAGGTCGGTACAAGTTACCGGTGCATTGTCACTCTCCGAGTCTTCGGTAGCGCAGTCTCACTGCCGAGATTCGTGAGAGCGCACACGGCCTGGACGCCGTGATGACGTCACGGTGGCTCTGGGGAGCGGCTGCCGGGCCCACTC